TTCCCTTCTCTTAAACCTCAATGTTTGAGGGAAAGCCTGTCTTTCGCTACTTTGCCTCGGAATCACTGAACTGGATGAACTCAACTTCTTCTGAGAAGACAGTGATCATTCCGAAGAAGTTTTTGTCTCGTCCCTTACCTAGGAAATCTCAGTGATTTTCCTCCCCTCGCCCTCGGCGAACTACCTTAACATAACAACTCGGGAGTCCCCCCCAAAAAGGACCTACCTTTCAAGCTAAGATCTTAAGCGGATCATCAACGCAAAAAAGAAATTCCCCTTCACCGGCGTGTGAGAGTTCCCGTCACCTCTCCCTTCGAGTAGCCTGGCCCTTTCCTCCAAGACCCTTGAATGCCCGAAAAAAAAAACCTCACATGGCCGGACTCTCCCGTTATTGAGCCTGGTTAAGAAGGGGCCAATCCCAGCCCTTCTGAAACAAAAAAAAGAGTGAATTGAACTAAAGCTAAGACTAAGGAATGGGGGGAACACAACCGATCCCGAGACATCCGCCGAAGCTTACACGATTACAAAAAAATCTGAGTCAGTGGTGGCAGACCCTTTCCCGGGACCCTACAATCGGAATAGTAGCAAGCCTTGCCCCCAGGTAATCTACTTCCAGTTCCTTTGCAGGCGTTGTTCTCTTTGGCCAACTATTGAATCCAGTTTCATTGTCAGTCGCCCAGTGATCCAATTGCTTTATTATGTCAGCTAAAATCTAGTTTTTCAGCACTAAGGTAAGGCTCATACAGTTGCAGTTTTTTTTTTTCTTCCTTTTTTTTTTTTTTTATTTGTTGTCACAATTGAAGGGAGATGTATTCTTAGCAGATATTGCATTGAATGATGGAGTAGGCTGTGAAGGAGGAACAAGGAGATGTTCTAAGCTTCGCAGAAGTTTTGTAACACTAGCTGCTCTGTTTTTGCTTCCTTTGCCATAGTTGCAAATTTGGGATTTTACTATTTACCAACACAATCAGATAAAATTTGAAGGATTTTATGGGTCCACTGATCAAGGCATAACAGAAAAACTTTATAAGTTTCCAAAAATCCCATTTCCATTATTATGCAATCGATCGGATCATATAGATATATATCCCTTAAACCAACATAGGTCATCAAAAGGAACTCAGAGACCCACGAAAGCTAGGATCCTTCAAAAAATGCATTCCTATTCGAAGATAAATAATGTAAAGATTTATCACACTCATCAGTAAGCATGCTCCTGACGAGAAGGGGTGTGCCAAGAGGCCATTGTGAAGGGCAATTGAAATGGCAGTTCAGTGAGATACAGTAATTATAGACATGAGTAAAGTGTAATAGACCTCTGCTTTAAGTTGCAGTTGACAGGGAACCTATTTATCATGGATAGATAATTTACTGATGGCCTTTGATTGAGCTGCCAAACGTTAAAAGCTTGACAGTATTGGTGGTGTTTGTGATAATTACTACCAAAGCGAGGGCTCCTTTTCAAGGCTATGTTTATTATGTTTTCTACTTAGGAATTAGGACATATTTTAATCACCTTGTAGATTCTTATCCTTTTACTGTTGAATTTGGTTTGCTGCATTTCTACATATTAATGTACCAAAATCTTTTTCTGACATAAAAAGAGGGTGAAGAAAAACAGCAGATGATAATAACTTTTAATAATCCTGCTTGTTAATCGTAACAGAAACTGTTGCTATTTGCTTGCTCTTATACTCTTTTTCTTTTGTTTTCTTCTGTTTTGGGAATTCAGGTTTCCTTTGCTGTTGATGGGATTATGCTATTGGCTGCACTTTCTATTGTTAAAGCACTTCTTGAGGTATTTTACTTTAGATTTGCAAATTCTTAGTAGTTTATCTGCCTTTTGCTGTTGCAAAGGCAATTATTGCATGGCTTGCATGTATATATGAGAACATAGGACACGATCTTAAACTTATCACTGTGTATCATGTAATCATTTTGATAATGCGAGTGAAATAAAGAAATAAACTGTCTTGCAGTAAATTGCATAAATTTGCTCCATTTAAAAGGAATGATATTGGAGTCCCAAAAAGTTGCAGCAGCAGTGAAATGAAACTGCTTCTGTTTTGTCATTCTTTTGGAGGCAAAATTGAGTTTGTTGACGATCCCCTGGAAAGTCAATGAAAATTGGAAGCATTTGATTAGTAGTATTTATTTACTAGTTAGCTATACTATAGTCTATACTCTCAGAATTAGAAGATCGTTTTTGTGGTTATAGAAGTGCTGATACCAGGATAACAAAATGAGCTGACAACTTATATGACAAATGGTGACTGATGTTTATTGCAGGTGGTTTGCACCCTCGGTACCACTGTCTTCACTGTAATCTTGATTCTGCGTGTCATATGGGCAGCCATTTCTTTTTTCCAATCAAGCGGGAACACTTTTAACCAGGGTGGAAGTTCCTTCGGAAGCACACAGCCAATGGCCTAGTATCCCTAATGGTCAGACTTCAGAGACTCAGAGTATTCCCTTTCAAAAAACACACCAATCCCACAATTATCTTGACACGCTAAAAATAGAAACAGCTATGATAAATTCTGTTATATTTGTGAATAATAGAAAGGGTAAATTTGACAAGTTCTTCAAATATTCATGTCAATTTATGTGACATATTTGTTCCCAATGGGCCACGATGGATTTAGGCTAGTGCGGTTGCTTGGCCGTTGGCTGGTCAAGTGTAAAACACTACGGACATAATGTTTGCTTGGATATAGGATCTTGATGACAATTTGACTGTTCTAATGCAGTGTATTCGTAAATCTTCTTTGACTTGCATTTTAAGGCATAACATCTTGAAATATTTCAAAAGAGAATTACAAGTTAGTCAGAAATATAGTCTTAACAATGTTATAACATAAACATTAGCATTTATCAACTTGGGAGTTCTACAGATACAGAGCTCTTAAAGGCTTTACTTTATTGAACAAGCTTCAGCTTCACAACAAGCCCGATTCTGAAGCAAAGGTTTATACAATATGTAAACATTAGCAATTTTGAACAAGCAACTTTCTTTTACAAGAGCAATACCCAACTCTAGGAGGCAGTATTCGAGTTTTTCGTATAGAGAATGGCGTTGAAGCCTGGGGAAGAAATATATGGAGTAAAGAATCATTTTCCAGCACACAAATGAATGGAGATGTTTAGATAATAACTTGACCAGCCTTTTAGACAGCAAGGACAGCTCCGAGTATGATGTTGAAACGGAAATATGTTCCCTGTCTTTGATTTAACATAGTGAGGGTATATATTCTGACAGCAACTGAAGGAAGAAGAAGTGCTTCTTGATGATGCTCTTATTACTATTGATGTTGTCTTTTCATATCATTATGTTCTTTCAAAACCACTGCCAACCTGCATATGCAACCACTCCGGTGATGCACCGCGGCTGTATTCCCTTGTGGCTTGTGATCATATAAGGATATGGCTGTCCCATATCTCTTTGCTTGACTTCTTATAATTGGCCCACTAGGAAACACTAATGGATCTCCCATGTTGTTTTCCTTGCTCCTTTGAGCTCCATGGTTGAGTGATGGCTGATCCATATAAGTAATGCTAGAGCTATTTCCTTATTTATGTCTACCTTAGGGGATTGCAATTTGGCCCAGTCGGAAGGGGGGTGACGAGGGCAGGCTTAGTAGCGCTGGCATTTCTTAAAAGAAAGGTGCTAGCCAGCAGGGCAAGGAGGCACTCTCTTTATACTTTCGCTTCCCTGCCTCGAAGCCTAAAGTAAAGGCTTCCCTTGTCCCCTTCTTATACTAGTTATTCATTTCCTGCAAACCTTCCACGAATCAATTATAAAAATTATTAAAATAAATATTTAAATACCTGCGCGTGAAGCTAGGTTTTTGACTAGTATAATATATTCTCCGCTAAAGTTATATTTTTTTTCATAATAATATAATAATATAATATATTCTTTCTGCACTGTAGTTTTTTCTAGAGCTGTTGGTGAGTTCATTTGGGTCAGTTTGAATATAATAATCATATGAAACCTAAAGTGCCAGTTTAAAAAAAATTAAATCATAAAAAATTTCAAACCAAACCAAACCAAACCTTTGGTGGCGATTTGACAGTTTGTCGGTTTGTATAGTTTGAAATAAGAGAAATTAAACTTCCTCATCCATCTAGTTAATAAACAAAAAAGAAAAAGATTAACATTATACTAAACTAGTCGTAATTCTACACTTTGCGCGCGGATATTAGTAAATTATTTGAATAGGTATTATGATTAAATTATATTGATATATATATTTTTTTAAAATTGTTTAAAAAGCTCTACAATGTTTTGAAGACTTGCACAATAAAATTGGTTTGTGCAATACCCCGAATTTTTATTTTTGAAACTTTCAAATTTTTTATTGAATCAAAAATCTTGATTTTCAACTATTTGGGCTATAAACACCAAATAATCTTAACTTGAGTCCAAAATTTTGCGAGTTGGGCCCAAGCCCAAGTATATTTAAGAGAATTAAAGAAAATTACTCTTTCTGCTAGACTGTGGCTATCAGTAGCTTGACCCCTTCTCGCCCGTACGTGGATATAATCTTGTTTAGGTGGTTCTGGTGGTTGAGTATTCTGTTCCACAGGCTTGCCTGAACTGGGTTCGGCTTCAGTTTTAGAATCATGATTCTCGTCTCTATTTCCTGATGTTTTAAGCCGTTTAGCATCTGAATCATTCTGCCCAATTCAGATTACAAAACAAAAGATAAAAATATCACCCAAAAAAAAAAAAACTCTGATTCATTATAAAATCTGTAATTTACAAAAATTTAATTGCACCCAGCTATATTGATGGAAAACATTCTAGATGATCATTTCTACATAAAAGGATAGAAATTCCCAAGTTTGATTAGGTGATAAATTGAATTCTGAGTCAACTTAATTAAGTGTGATTACTAATTTAGATCAATAATTGAATTCACTCACAAAAATAAATGGACAGCTAAAAAGACAACCTCAAAAAGCACTTAAAGTTTACATTGGAAACACAATAACAAGGAGACAACTCTTTCTTTATCAACATGTTAACTCTTCATTATTAGACAACCAAAATGAAGATAAATTTGAATAATCTAAATAAATCAAAAATACAACAAAAAAAGGTTAGGGAGATCATTCAATAAAATAAAATAAAATAAAAAAACAAATACCACTCTGTTGCCGTTGCCGTTGCCGTTGCCATTGACATTGCTTGAAGATAAGACCTTTGCAGAGTCATCCTCCGCTACATCGCGGCGTTTTCTTCCACCGCCGCCACCTCGAGTTCCTCTCTGCTCCAAATTCATCGGATCATTGCGCAAAATATCCCCGTTCGAATCCCCAAACTGACCACTCAAGCTCTGTCCAAACTGACCTCTCCCGTTTGCATTGACCGGAAACTGCCAGATCTCAGCCAAATTATACGACCCATTATTCATCATCGCCGGCGGATCCATATAAATATCCCCACCAAACCTAAACGATTCGTATCCCAACTCAAATTGAACCAAAAGCTACAATCTTTTTCACGTTCGTTAAGGGAGCATTGCGTGTCAAACTCAATGGGTTCGTTAAAAAAGGGAAATGAAGCAGCTTTTAAGTAGCTTCACAAAAAAGAAGCAGAACCCATTAAAGGAAAGCGAAAGCTATGTATCAAACAAACGAGAAAAAAAGCAAATCCAGAGAAAGAAAAAGGAGACTAGGTGTCTGTGTTTGTGTGTGCGATCTCCTTAGACAATGGAGGTTGGTGCGCACTGTGCCACCACTCACTCACTATTACAAAAAGAGAGAGAAACAGAGACAGAGAAAGAGACCTCGGGAGTTGCAAACTAAGTCACTTCCAGTGAGGTTTTCTCGGAGGATCCAGCTCTCTCTTTTTATTTTCTTGTCTATCGAACACTTCTCTCTCACTTCCACACCGTCGGATTAGCTTACTTTTCTTTTAATATCTAACCTGTTTCTAAATGATCAACGGTGATGCTTACTCAACAAGTAGTAAGGGCATTATTGGGTTTTTAATTTGATTGATGGGTCATGGGGGGTCATTTAGCTTAGTTTGCAGAAAGTATATACAGAAACAAATTGAAGTATTTTAAATAGTAAAAATGAATGAATGAATGAAATATTCTAGAGTAATGATATTTTTGAATTTGGTTTTGATTAGCACATGATTTTCATTTTAGTAAATAGATTATTAATAATGACTAATCATTGTTTAATGTTTATGATTGTGATGTTAATATAAAGTTAGAGATGATGATGGTTTTTAGTTCTTGATTTGGATATAATCCCAGGTTTAAGAAGGAGGCCCACAAATTCAATGGTCCACTATCAAAAATGTTGTTTCCAAACTTGGCTATATGTTTATCTTTATCTTATTTATTTCCTTGGCCCACTAAAGGTAACATATTTTATACAATCCTCTCGTGGTTGGAGTAGGCATCTGATTTTTTTTTTTTTCTTTTAAGTTTTAAATAGGTGAAAAAATTTCTTAAAAAAAAATTGAAAAAAAGTTTAAGGTTGTTATTGATATTGTTATTATTATTATTGATTAATAAAATTTTGTATTGTGCAAATGTTCAAATCTCTCGTATGCTAGTAAAAATAATTCGAGAAAATCTAAATTTTTAATTTTAATATTAATTAGTAGCTAAATTTAATTTAAATATGATAGTTATTATTATTATTATTATTATATATTTCTCATTTCACAATCTAACTGTATTGGAATCCAAAATTCACAAGAGAAAGAATTGAGGAAAGTAACAGAGATATATCTATTACGCTTTGAATATTTTTATATTTATTTGTGATGGAACGCTTGATTAGCTACTTTTTTTTAATTTAAAAACTGCGTAATTATCTTTTTCTTTTCAGAAATTAATTAATATCTTTATTCCATAATACTTGTCACATCTAAAATTTCAATCTCTTTAAAAAATATATTAAATTTGTCTAAATTATAATAAATTATTAAGCAAATTGATTTTATTACTTTTAATTTAATACTAATTGTTTAAGAAAATTATTAAATAAAATAATAATTATTAGTCATATACAAATTATAAATATGAAAAAAATAAATTTATTACTCATTGAAAATATTTTAGAACAAATTATTTTTCAAATATAACAAATATTATGAAATAGAGATAGTACTAAAAAATTTCAATTTTCAAAATTTAAATTATCTGATCTGTGTGTTATAATCTTTAACGTAAAAAATGCTTTTAAGAGATAAATTACCATGCAGTCTCTAAAACTTTATCAAATACATGGATAAGAACCATATTGGTTCGTCCATTTACTTAAATTTAAGTTAAGACTCATTGTTGATAAAGCTCAATAACTATAATAACAATAATTTAACATAACTCGGTTCCAATCAAATCTTTTCAGCCACAAAGATAGCCAACTCTATTATCAGGGCGACGATTTGGCATCAGATATCCGGAGGTGTGAAAAGAGCAGCTGTGAGAAGCGGAAAAACCATCAAAAAACGACGATTGTTTGTGGAGGTTTCCACAGAAAGACCCCTCGGTTCTGACAAACGGATTACAATTACTTTTTAAACCAAACTCAAACAACCTGTGAGCCAATTCATCTATTAATAGCTTAATAGATGAATTATTAATATACATAAATATTGCAAATTATGTTTAATTATTTATGGTTTAAGCTTAGCTTAACGATAGGATTCTTCTATAATCATATGAACCGAGCCGCGATTGAAATCGCTCTCTATCTTTTCTTCCACTCTCTCTTGTACCTATAAGAGAAAAAAATAAAATTAATCCTATTGGATGAATTAAATTGCAAATTTGCTTCGGCAGATTAATAATAGGTTTAATGAAATTTTTTTACACTGTAAAAATAAGAATATGATTTAGTTTATTGTTGGATAATTAATGTGAGCTACCTTAGAATTGATTGAAGCAGCAACTAGCAAGCGAGTTACAATTGGTGATTTATTTACATAAATACCTACATTTCTCTATCATAAAACAGGCAATCACATAATTGTTCTATGTATGCTCCAAAATTACCTCATCAGCAGCTCAGTCATCAACCATTCATTTTCAAGGGAAAGAAACAACGTAATTGCTTTCTTTCAAGAAGACCATTTTTGGTAAATCCACGTGACTTGAAAATTTGCCATTGTAGAGAAGCCAGCTGGACATATCATCTGAGCAAAGTACAGAAAAAGTGTAAGCCCAAATCCAATTGCCAGCAGATGAAATATGTGTTTTTCACGTGCTTGAAAACCACATGTGGGTAATTTTGTATCTCCTATTGCCACCTCAATTGGCTAGAGCACGGTGCAAACAAAACTAGGAAAACAAAATTTTAAGTAGTTTTTGCCCATCAAAATATTAAACATTATTTTTTATAATATTTAATAATACAATATTTGTATTGGCTTTTAGAAGTTAATATATTATTTTATAAAAGGTTAAGTCATGTAATGTTTAACTTTTAGCGTTTTATTGCGGAGACTCCATAACGGTGCACCAAAGAGTAAAACTGATCTATGATATTCATCCTAATTCAGTCTTGTTTTCCGCCACCTTAAATGGATAAACTCAAACCTCTACCTTGACCAGTTTGTAGTGGAAAACCTCGATAACATAATCGTTTATAGTCACTCACTGGGAGGCCTGAGTACCAAGTGTTCGGGTTGTTAAGCAAGAAAAGAAGCTGTTACATGAAACGGTGCTCAGACGAATAAGTGCTATTTTCTTGGCCATTGGATCAGCCAGGGTGTGATTCAGATGGATCAAGAGAAGGATCAGGTCTGTTTGGGACTGGGAAGTGACCGTAAGAAGGAGAGAGCAGGCAGCCAGTAGTGAAGCCGGGATGCTCGAAGCCAATTTAGATACGGGCAAGACAGCTCAGGCAGAGTAGAAAAGTTCCCACAAACCTAGGAGGGGTTTGCTTATAGGAAGGCCAAAAAACGTGAGACCTTTTTACAAACTTCTTAAACTAAAGGGGGAGAGCGCAGGACGGGCGTTCAAGGGGAACGTCGAGACGCCATCAGTTTTGGCAGCGCGAGGCAGCCAGAGCTTGCTGCAAAGGAGATAAGGAAAAGGCTTCAGCAGAGGAGAGGAGGTAACTTGTTAGAAATGGTGGAGGAGTGGGGCGCTCGTTACTGCCCAATTTTCAAGACGGACGAATGCTGCTGGGGAGTGCAAGAATAGACCAGACTGAAGATGAAGAGTGAAACGTTGTGGAGCCTTAGAAGCCCGGCAAAGCTTCTAAAGGTAAGAAAAAAGTACGGAAATACATAGCGGAGCTCTGACGCTTAGGAGAGGAGACAGTTTGCTGGTCGTTTTAGATTGTGTGGCAAGGTGAGCCAACGTTTCTAGTCAGAAAGGAAGAGGAGACGGAAGGCTGCTCAATTCTTCCCAGAGGTCCCACGGGCGCCATTCTTTTGACACTAGTTAGCTATTCGCTATCCATATAGCGCTATGCGGCTTATTTAGATCGCGATCCCACTTGTTAGATAGGTGGAGTTGTTTCTCCTCGGGAGTTTGATCTCTCTACATCGAATGCAGATTATTTTGGGCGGCATCTTCCAACCGCCTCGCAACGTTCCTCGGGATTTTATTCGGCCTTCCGCTCCCCACCTTTTTTGCTTTGGCTCACCTGCTTTACGTAGCTCAAAATGAAAGACAAAAGCCTTTTTTATGCATAGAAGGGGCTTTACTCCTCTTTGGTCTGGTAGTTTAAAGAAGAACTCTTGTCTCACAACGAAGGGCGGTCGGCCCCGTGTGTAGAATGCTGTTCCTTCCCCTTAGGAGAAGCGACTTTCTCTCCAAAGGAATGTTGGGTTAAACGAATCCGATAGTTTCTTTGCTCCAGCATTCAATGAAAGTCGAGATAAGCAGCGCAAGAGGCACTTGTTAGAGTTGTAGTAAGCACAACTGTGGTAGGTGGGAAAACGAGAAAATTTTTTTACAGTTAGCAGCACCAGGTTCTGCGTGTGCAGATTCCACTATGGACAGATCGCATCGCGTCGTGACCCTGAAACGGACAAATGGATTGGATCGATCGTCAGAAGAGCATCTTGGAAACCATGGGAGGCGCTGGCCCGATCGCCTGAAACATGTTGCACGGCATGAGGTGGGTAACCCAGAAGATGCGATGCTAGACCTAGACCGACCACTCGGACTAGGACAAGGGACTCATTAGCTCCTTTACCTTTAGCTAGTTGACTGGATTAAGGAGCCAGCAACCTCTTCCCCAAAGTTATGTTAGCCACTCTGCCCACTTCACTTAGATAGAACTGATCTTGCGGAAGCTCTAAAAGTAAGGTAAAGTCGTAAACATAGCTGCTTAAAGACGATGAAGGGCAATACTAGTAGGGACTTTGGCTTTGAGTTCTGCCCTTGCCGAAACGAAAGGAGAAAGGAAAAAAAAGGGAAGCCAGAGAGCAACATCTATAAGATAAGAGAAGAGAGAAATTGGATTCAGGGATGCCACTTCTTCCCGTCGCATCCGTCTTCAGCGGACCGATCTTGTTTCATTCATAAATTGGAAACGGATCCCTTCCCTAGCCGAGTGTGATAACTAGACATGATGTAAAAGGCCAGTGCTCTCTTAGCCTAAAGTTTCTTCTCAAGGAATCGACACTTTAAGAACCAGTGGCCTGATGAATCTATGTCAACAAGATCCCTGTACCGCTACCCACGGAGCGGTTATTCTGGAACGACATCTTTCACTTGCCTTCAAGGCAGCACCAAGCCGGTAAGCCAGGTGGGAAGGCCTTCAGCTCCGTTGGTGGAACTCCTCCAAGGAGAAGTATGGGCTTTTCTACTAACTAATACTAATCGTCTTTCTCTTCTATTGACAAGCAATCGAATGATGCAGACGACTTAAGCGTTAAAGTTTTAACTACTGGCGTCGAGCTATTTTTCCGCAGGACCTTCCCTACAGTATCTTCACCGCAGTTTAACCACCAAGTTCGGGATGGATTGGTGTGG